TTTTTTTTTTTTGCAAAAACGGTAAATTGCAAATATCTCAAAAACGGTGCCATAAAATTAAAAATAACCTTGATTTTCGGAATCAGGGGGTGATTTTACATACGAATTTCATAACGGCGTCTCTGGTAAATTTTGGCCGTCGACCAGTGCTATTGTTTGTGATAATGGTGATTAAAGTTGTTAAGGAACATCAACTTAACATATGAAAATACTGATAAACTAAAGGCTATTATAACCGCATACAGCAAAAAGTTTTACTCTTCTTTAATAGAGCTAAAATGAGGAAAAACATTCCGCACATATAATTATTTTAATGGGGTATGTATGTATGTAATACTCCTATATTGGCAGTATCAGCTGGTACCGTCCAAAAACATTACAGTACAGATATGCATATCAATAAACACGTACAAATACACGTACACATACGTTTATAAAGACCCTGCAGAAAAACACCAAACTAGTCAGAAAAAATACTAGTTTACAATTAGAATTCTTCTTATTTGGCACTACAACCGTTTGTCGGTTTGGGCCGAGACCAAAAAGCTTTTCCAATTGCTTCTCTCCTGCGCGAATTTGCGCCAGTTGGTTATCCCGAGCGCAGACAGGTCCTTCTGCACTTGGTCGTTCCAATGCGTTCGTGGGCGCCCTTGCTTTCGTTGTCCACCCATGGGTGCGGAGTCGAAGGATCTTTTCACCGGAGAGTCGTCATCCATGCGTACAACATGTCCAAGCCAACGCAATCGCTGTATTTTTATGCGCTTAACTATGTCCATGTCGTTAAAAAGCTCATACAGTTCCTCATTCCATCTNCTTGTATGCAATATTAAGAAGGCTTATTCCGCGATAATTGGCGCTAACGGCGGGATCTCCCTTCTTGTGGATTGGGCAAAGTACACTGAGATTCCATTCTTCGGGCATGTATTCATCATACCAAATTCTGCTTAAAAGCTGGTACATACGCCCCACCAACTCTTCGCCACCGGCTTTGAACAGCTCAGCCGGTATACCGTCGGCTCAGGGGGCTTTGTTGTTCTTAAGCCGCTTTATTGCTGTTCTCACCTCGTCTTGGTCCAGTTGAGGGACGTGAGCTTCGTCCCTATACATTGGTTCGGGTTCTAATTCATCAAACGCGCCATCTGTTTCGCCATTTAAAAGCGATGAAAAGTGTTTTCAAATCTCAAGTGTACTATGGACATCTGTTACCAGGTTTCCATCTTCATCTTTGCAGGAGCTAGCCCCGGTCTTAAAACCATTTGATTGCTGCCTTATTTTCTGATAGAATTTTCGAGCCGCGTTCCTGTCTGCCAGCATCTCAAGCTCTTCGCACTCACGCCTTTCTGCCTATCTTTTCTTTCTCTTGAAGGGGCGTCTCTCTTCCCTCCTTTTCTCCCGGTAACGCTCAATTGTCGCGCGTGTCGCCATTGGCTGAAGGGTAGCTTTGTATGCTGCGTATTTTTCTGCAGCAGCCGCGCGGCACTCTTCGTCGTACCAGGTGTTTCTGCGCGGTTTGTAGTAACCAACAAATTAGAATTGCCTGACTTAAATCGCACTAGTCCGAAAAAGACGAGACTTGACCCGATTACAAAACGATTTATTAACGTCTTATTTTTTTGACTTCAACATTTTAATATAATTAAGTACAGAAAAAATTACTTTTATTTAGGTTTATTGCAAACCATTAAAACGAGCACATATTTAATTATGTATGTACTAAGTATGTAAATTAATATATGGACGTACATTAGGGTGCCAATCGAAAATGCTTTGTTTGGAAATTTCCAGACCATACACCCTAATTTTATTCGTTTTTATGAGAAATATTATTGCCCTTTTTTATAACTTTTTTTAAAGGTCATTTAGAGGTTGCGATCTGACGATTTAGATCAGAAAATACGATTTTGTCGATTTATGAGTTTTTGAATTACTATTTTTGACTAGATTTCAGAGATCGAATATGATCTGAGAAGAGGATATATAGGCCTTTAAAATGGTATATAATAATCTATTCTCGGACTGGACTTGTTGGGATTTTTTATCGGGTAAAATAAAAAAACTCATATTTCTCTTAATTTTTTTAAATTTTGACCATCGATAATTTCCACAATCTCAAAATATGTAGTACTATCTGAAATGAAATATATTTTTAAATAAACTGGTAGCTCATTTATTCCAATCGTATAAAAATTGTCCAAGTTAGGCGACTTTTCTTAAATAAGTCCCTGAATTTCTATTGTTTATGCACCGGACTTTCAGATTTATTGAGCAGTGTGGCTAACATAATATTCACGCGCGCCACCAATTCATTGTCAAAAATTTCTCATGCACATGCAACTTGTATGGGATCAACCGCAATTGAACGGCGTGCGTATGAAGCTAACTCAATTTCCAATTTTTGTTCTGCGTGACATTTTGATTTGACGTTTCGCTCAATGAAATCAAATGCAAACGCACGCAAGCCAACTTCGGGTGACGCAAAAAAACAAATTCGACGGCATGCGTACCAAAACGCAAGCCGCGAATATTAGGTTAGCCTGTAAGGAATTCATCAATATTTATTCAAAGTTGATATATCAATCGCTCTTTAGCAAAAAAAGGGTTTTTCAAGAAATTTTAGGAAACTCGGGGTGGCACCGCCCACTTATATCATATATGTGCATCACAAAAACTACTTGACCGATCTCAACCAACACATTGCGCTTAGGCTTCTTAAGCGCCATGTTGAAAATTTTAGAAATCGGACAAAATCCACGGGCTCCTCAAACGTAACGGTAATTTCAAAAAACCCAAAGCTAGCTATATTTTAGGGGTAGTAGGTTTTGTCCAATTTTAAAACCAAGACGGAACTTAAGGAGGCTAAGCACAATGTGTACACAAAATTTGGTCGAGATCGGTCAAGTAGTTTTTGAGATACACATATATGATATAAGTGGGCGGTGCCACCCCCATTTTCCAAAAATATTTGGAAACCCCAATTTTTTGCTAAAGAGCGATTGTATATATCAATTTTAAATAAGTATTGATGAATTCCTTAGTCACATTGCTCAAAAAATCTGAAAGTCCGGTAGATACCCAATATAAATTCATGGCCGTATTTAAGAAAAGTCGCCTTGCTTCGACAATTTTTATTTGATTGCAATAAATGAGCTATCAGTTTATTTACAAATAGATTTCATTTCAAACCAAAGGTACCCAAACTTATTTTTCTCTTAGACCTCTATTAAAACTTTATTGGTTTCGGTGGACCCCCTGATGCTCGTTTCTAACATATTCCCAAAGCTCATCAAAAAATGTGAAGTTTATATATCTCGATGTAATTTTGCATCTCTTTTGAGTTCCAAAACTAAATTCGGAGTGGCAAACATAAAAATAAAATATTTTCCTGTGTTCTATTTAATAAAATAATGCGATAACACACTTGCAAGTTTTAAAAAACAGAGCTCGTAAAGCCATGAAAGAACTATCTCGCTTTGAGGAGTTATATATTTTAAGAGCAATAAATAAACTCCTCACATGTTCGGCTCACTCGTGAATTTGCATTTGATGTATTTGTCAAATAGTTTATTTGGGTTTATGGCATCATTTTTATTTTTATCGCACCGAGTTTTAAAGTGAGGCAAAAAATATTTATCACTGTTTAAAACACAAAACTTTAAACAACAAAACGGCTAAGCTTTTTACGCTAATCTTTTAATTGAGAATCTGACAATAGAGAAAAGAACGATTCTAGAAAAATCGATAACAAACAAGCAAGCAAGAAGTACAAAAAGTGTTCCACCGTCTCATCCTCTTCAAGGCAAGATAGGCAAATGGACTTGTCATTTACGCGTATCACAGTCAGGTGTTTGTGCCAGATGTCTCATTTCCAGGCACTCGAGTTGCCCGGCATCCAGAGTAAAGCAAGCTCGTTATCTTTACCAATATAATTTAGTCTAGACTTGCATTGCCGAACTAGTTTGGAAGTACTTAGATAGAGGGCTGGCCAATGCCTTAAGTGCAGCTTGGCTGTACCTGTAGACAGTTTTGGAGCCATCAGTGATAATTCGACAATGTGCGAGTGTGGGCTCAGTGCTGGAATTAAACCAGCTTTCCCCTGAGGGAACTCTCTCTCTCTAGAATCTCTTCAACAAAGGTAATGGTGGCGTACTATCCTGTAGCATTGAAAAGACACAAGTGCTTAAATCTCTGCCGCCAGCAATTTTCGTCGCGCCCCACTCATTGTCATACCAGCATCCGGTTCTTTTTAGTCTACAGGAAAAACACTAACTGACGGTAAGTGCAGCAGTGCCTCAAGAGCACTATACATGTCAAGAGCACTATACACCACTAAAAAAATTAAAGTTAAATAAACAGGCTATCAAGCAACCATTTTGGTTCTTTACATCGAAACCAGATAAAACTTCGTGGACCCCTATTTACAACTCATGGACCCCCTTATTTTTTTCACATCACCGTGGACCCCCATCGAGTCTTCCGTGGACCCCTGGGGGTCCACCTGAACGACTTTGGGAATCACTGGTCTTTTAAAGCTCTATCTATAATCTCTTCAACAAAGGTAATGGTGACGTACTATCCTGTAGCATTGAAAATACACAAATGCTCAAATATCTGCCACCGGCAATTCCCGCATCGCCTCACTCAGTGTTATACCAACATCCGTTTCTTTTTAGTCTGCAGGTGGCCTTTTTTACTTCCCAAGTATGATAACACAAAGTGACGGTAAGTTCACCAGTGCGTCAAGAGCTAAACATTAAAGTTAAATAACTAGGCTATCAAGCAACCATTTTGGTTCTTTACTATCGAGGCCAGATGATTTTTCGTGGGCCCCCACTTACAACTCATGGCCCCCATATTTTTTCACGCCAACGTAGACCCCTGTGGAGTCTCCCGTGGACCCCTGGGGGTCCATCTGGACCACTTTGGGAATCACTGTTTTAGATAGTACTACATATGTATATTGAAATTGTGGAAACTATCGATGGTAAAAATTAAAAAAATTAAGAGAAATACGGGTTTTTTTATTTTACCTGATAAAAAATCCCAACAAGCCAAGCCCGACCATAGATTGTTATATACCACGGGTGGGCAAGGCCGAGGCCGAGCCACAAAAAGAAAAACAACAAAAACGAAAATTTTATGTTTAAATAAAACTATTATTAGAAGTGAAAAACATTAATTTTATTAATTTAATTTATAGATATTAAAGAAAGTTCAAAAGATCCCTTTGGCCAAATTTTCAAAATCTGGTTTTACGTCAGTTAAAGCCGTTCGTAACAGTTCTGTTAAATGTTGGTTGGTTCGTTCAAAATCTCCAGTAAAAAATGTCCAACAGCAAATTTCAAACTATGATATGACCCAGTGGGAAAATTACCATTACCTTTTTCTACCAAGAAAAGATTTACAAATACGGTTGAACGAAAAGTTGCATCGCACAACAAACAAAACAGAAAGTTCGAAAACTAACTAAAGTATGTTTTTTTTCAAGTTATATCAGCAGCTGCTGTAGCCGAATGGATGCGTGTTCGACTGCCGTGTTGTTGGTCACGGGTTCAAAACCTGAGGCATGGACATTATTTTTTAAATTTTTATTTAAAAATTCTATTTATTGTTTCGTAAAGCGACATGCGACACAGTACTTTCGTATGACATCGCTGTAGAGAAATTCTTGCATATTTTCGTGCGTAGGTTATAGGGGCCATCCATTACTTTTTGAATTCCCAGACATTGCCTTTTCCCACTGGGGAATTCTCCTCGCATTGAAACTGTTTACCATTTATTTAGACCTAAAATTTATACAGCGCAAGTACCATTTTCATTTAAGCGATAGATTTCATCAATTTGTAAAAAATCGGGACTGGGACTGAATTTTGGGTGGATGGATTTTAGACAAGTACATAATTCATATTTCTTGAAACTATTTTTACGATTATTTTACAATTAATCGATTAATAATTAAATATACAATTGGTCANTTATTTTTTTCACATCACCGTGGACCCCCATCGAGTCTTCCGTGGACCCCTGGGGGTCCACCTGAACGACTTTGGGAATCACTGGTCTTTTAAAGCTCTATCTATAATCTCTTCAACAAAGGTAATGGTGACGTACTATCCTGTAGCATTGAAAATACACAAATGCTCAAATATCTGCCACCGGCAATTCCCGCATCGCCTCACTCAGTGTTATACCAACATCCGTTTCTTTTTAGTCTGCAGGTGGCCTTTTTTACTTCCCAAGTATGATAACACAAAGTGACGGTAAGTTCACCAGTGCGTCAAGAGCTAAACATTAAAGTTAAATAACTAGGCTATCAAGCAACCATTTTGGTTCTTTACTATCGAGGCCAGATGATTTTTCGTGGGCCCCCACTTACAACTCATGGCCCCCATATTTTTTCACGCCAACGTAGACCCCTGTGGAGTCTCCCGTGGACCCCTGGGGGTCCATCTGGACCACTTTGGGAATCACTGTTTTAGATAGTACTACATATGTATATTGAAATTGTGGAAACTATCGATGGTAAAAATTAAAAAAATTAAGAGAAATACGGGTTTTTTTATTTTACCTGATAAAAAATCCCAACAAGCCAAGCCCGACCATAGATTGTTATATACCACGGGTGGGCAAGGCCGAGGCCGAGCCACAAAAAGAAAAACAACAAAAACGAAAATTTTATGTTTAAATAAAACTATTATTAGAAGTGAAAAACATTAATTTTTTCTAATTTAATTTATAGATATTAAAGAAAATTCAAAAGATCCCTTTGGCCAAATTTTCANATTAATTTAATTTATAGATATTAAAGAAAGTTCAAAAGATCCCTTTGGCCAAATTTTCAAAATCTGGTTTTACGTCAGTTAAAGCCGTTCGTAACAGTTCTGTTAAATGTTGGTTGGTTCGTTCAAAATCTCCAGTAAAAAATGTCCAACAGCAAATTTCAAACTATGATATGACCCAGTGGGAAAATTACCATTACCTTTTTCTACCAAGAAAAGATTTACAAATACGGTTGAACGAAAAGTTGCATCGCACAACAAACAAAACAGAAAGTTCGAAAACTAACTAAAGTATGTTTTTTTTCAAGTTATATCAGCAGCTGCTGTAGCCGAATGGATGCGTGTTCGACTGCCGTGTTGTTGGTCACGGGTTCAAAACCTGAGGCATGGACATTATTTTTTAAATTTTTATTTAAAAATTCTATTTATTGTTTCGTAAAGCGACATGCGACACAGTACTTTCGTATGACATCGCTGTAGAGAAATTCTTGCATATTTTCGTGCGTAGGTTATAGGGGCCATCCATTACTTTTTGAATTCCCAGACATTGCCTTTTCCCACTGGGGAATTCTCCTCGCATTGAAACTGTTTA